TCAGAGTCCCTTGAGATCATTTAAGCCATTTTTAAATGTGCAATTCATTGGCATTAAGTACATTCATCATGCTGTACAACCACCACCACCACCCATGTTCAGAAATTTTTTCATTACTCCAAACTGAAACTCTGTACCCATGACCAATAATTCCCCATTCTCCATCCTGCCCCACCCACACCTGGTAACCACTATTCTTCTTTCTGTCTTAGTGAATTTACCTATTCTAGGTACCTCATAAATAAGTAGAATCATACAATATTGTCCTTATGTGTTGGCCTATTTTACTTAGCATAATGTCCTCAAGATTCATTCACCTTGTAGCATATGTCAGAATCTCCTTCCTTTTTAAGGCTGAATATTGGTCCATTGTATGAATACACCAAATTTTGTTTATTCACTTATACAGGATGGACAAGAGTGATATTTTATAAACAAAAATCACATCATTCCTCTCTACCTTAAGGTGCTTCTTAATGCTCTTGGGATAAAGTACAAAATCCTTCTGGCCCTGCGTGATGGGACCTCTGCTTACTTCACCAGCTTTGTCTTCTGCCATTCACTCCACACCACTTTTTATTTATTTTCTTTTCCTTTCTTTCTTTCTTTCTTTCTTTCTTTCTTTCTTTCTTTCTTTCTTTCTTTCTTTCTTCTTTCTTTCTTTCTTTCTTTCTTTCTTTCTTTCTTTCTTCTCTCTTTCTTTTGATTTTATTTATCTATTTGAGAGAGAGAATGAGAGAGAAAGAGAGAGAGAGCATGAGGGGGGGCGGTCAGAGGGAGAAGCAGACACCCTGCCGAGCAGGGAGCCCGATATGGGGCTCGATCCCGGGACTCCAGGATCATGACCTGAGCCGAAGGCAGTCGCTTAGCCAACTGAGCCACCCAGGCGCCCCTTTATTTATTTTCTTCAGTAAGCCTCACATCTTCCTTACTTAGTCTTCCACACATGTTGTTTTCCCTCTGTATCAAACAGATTTCCCTCCCCCTTCACTCACACCACCCTTTGTCTAGCTAACTCCTAGTCAACTTCTGGATCTCAGCTGAGACTTCTCAAGGAAGCCTTCCCTGACCTCTTTGAGAAGGTTCCCCTGCCATTAGTGCTTGTGACACCTGCATCCCTTAGGAGAAGCACTAATCACAGTGATGAAGGAGCAAAAGGCAAGCTGAGGGCAAGGCACAAGTTAACACCCTGGACCACCCCCCCACCCCAGGTGGGCTCTGTGTGACATCCCTCAGGCACTCCTGGCTGGCCAAGAACAAAGGAAAGGGAAAAACAAGTGGTTAACTGATAGAGATCATAGTCATTCAGGACATGAGTCTCCATCAGTTTGAAACTGTCCTAATGATTTACAAGAAAAAGCAATCTCCAGAAACCTATAGACTCAATTTGCTGGAGCCCTAACATCACCCTCCCCTCCATAGGATAGAAAATCTTACATATCAGTCACTCCTCACAACCCCAGTGCAGCTCTTTCTGCCCCTGGGTCCCTACAGTTTAACAGAACTACCTTTTTGCACCAAAGACATCTCAAGAATTCTTTCTTGGCTGTTGGCTCCAAACTCCACCACTTCAAGCCACATCAACAGTTGTAGATAATTAGTTCAAACCCATCCTCTTTACTCCTACCATGAGAATTCATCTTTTCCCCCCATACCATTGAAATACTCCTTCATCAGGGAGTGAAAGGTAGAGAAAAAAAGGTCTTTTGGGGACTATGGAGTTTGCAGTGTGCAGGGTCCTTCTCTATTGATACACAGGCTGCCTATTAGTGAACAAAGACCCTGCACTAGAAGCTACTACTATAAGCTCCTCTTGCTACCTCATCCCAGCATGTCCAATTTAGGTCCTAATACCTCTGCCTGCTGCACTCCTCCTTAATCCCCTTCTCTCCTTTCATTGATGCTTCTTAGGTTTCATTTCCTGCCCATTAGCCATTTTCAATGCAGGATTTGTCTCTTACCTTCAACATGTTCACATCAACTTTTCAAGAAAGTTTCCTTATCATCCCAAACTGTGAATCACAACTCACTATTTCTAGAAATATGTGCTGTTTCACTTGATTCTCAGCCTTAAAAAAAGATTCTAACCTTAGCAGAGAGGAAGTTAAATAGTTCAAATCAGTCCTTGTCAATAAATATCTATTTAGCTTCCACTATATGCTAGACATGATGCTAGGCTCTCGGGAAACAAAAACAAACCAAAAATGGTAATCCTTGCTTTGAGGCAGTTAAGTGATGAAAATATACACAGAAACAGATACTTTTAATCTAATATCATTATGGCTATGATATAAGTATGCAGGGATCCTTGGACCAGGCTGGGCGTAAAGGGAAAGTCTCCTGGGCGAGAAACATCTGAGTTGTCTTGAACAGTAAGTAAATATAATTAAGGTGAAGAAAGGTGGGAAGGGCATTGCAAAGGCTCTGACTTGTAAAATAACACAGTGAGTGTGAGCGCAGACTACAAGCAATTTGACTACTAGAACATAAGGAATCAGTGGAATGGTGGGAGAGAATATTGAAGTACTAGGAAGAGCCAGGTTAGAGAGGACCTTTGAGCATAAATTTCATTCTGTGGGATAATGTGGACGCATTAAAGAATTTCAAGTAGCGTAGTAACATGGTTAAGGTCTGAGTTTTAAACAGACTTAGCTACAGGTGGAATGAACCTTAGGATATACTGTTAAGTGAGAGAAGTATGATGCAGAACGGTGAATATAATATACTATATACAGTATATATAAATAACATACCATTTATGCTAATAAAATATTATACAGACATATATGCATGTTATGTATGTACATGTACTGGGAAATGCATAGATTACCTATGTAAGTATATTCAAGAAGCAAGAGTTGTCTTGGGTAAGAGAGCTGGATGGCTGGAGACAGAGATGAAAAGGAGACTTATTTTTCAGTGGATACACTTTTGTACTTTTTATTACTTATTAAGAATGAATTTAGGCTTGCTTAGGAGTGGTTAAAGATGGTGATATAGGAGGCTCCTGAATCCCCTCGTCCCCTGGACACACCAAATGAAGAGCTATACACGGAGCAGTTCCCTCTGACAATAATCCAGAACTGGCTGAGTAATTTCTATGCATCAGACGAACAAGAAAATAGCCATATCAGAATAGATAGGAAAGGCTGAGATACACTCTTACCATAAATCCCGCTACCAGCACAGTGTCATACAATCAGGAGGGAACCCCTAATTCCAAGCTTCTCCTCAAGGAGTGAAGGGTTTTAAGATTTTCACGCAGTAGATAGGCCCCCAAAATATCTACCTCTGAAAGCCAATGGGGCTTGAGTTCATGAGACCTGTAAGACTACAGTGAAACAAAGAAGCAGTTATTAATAGACCTGAGCACTCTCTCTTGCTATCACCTTAGGGTGCAGGGGGAGCCAGCAAAACCTGCTAATCTCCCAGCCTTTCCCTGAACAGGGTCCATCTACATTCTTTCTTTAAGGTAGAGCATGAGACTCTTGATCTCAGGGTTATGAGTTTAAGCCCCACATTGGGCATGGAGCCTACTTAAAAAAAAAAAAAAGGTAAAAAAAAATTGTTGCCTTTGGGTCAAAACTTCTAATTTAGCAGGCATCTAGGGGCTGAATACAGTCATCTCCAAAGACCAGGGAAGCTGGTAGACACATCCCCCGCCTTCTACCTCCTGCTTGTCCCAAATCACCATATCTCCCTGAATGAAGCTTGTATACATGTCTGCACCCCACTTTTATGGGTACCACCTGAGAGATGGATCCACAGATCACCTGGCTCTGATAGCCAATGGGACTTCCATTCAGGAGTCCCACAGGACAGTAGCAAACAAAGAAGCAGTTTTTAATTGGCTATCCCCCCAGGACTCAGTGCAGAGGGAGAAGGCAGAAATGCCCACCTCTCAGTTTTTCCATAAAAGGGGTCTATCTGCATACTTTAAAAGCTGCTGCCTGAGGGTCAGGCTTCTAATTTAGCACAAAGCTAGGGGCTAACTGCAATCCGTTCCAGAGACCAGGGAAAGCCTGCAGACATCTCCTCTGTCCTCTCCCTCTAGCCTGCTTCAAGTCACCAGTATCTCCCTGGAAGGAGCTTGTATGCATGTCTTATGCCCAGCTTTTGTGGCTGCCACCTGAGGAATGGGCCCCCAGATCACCTGACTCTGCTAGCCAATGGGGCATGCATTCAGGAGTCCCATGGTACTATTAAAAACAAATTCTTAATAGGCTCAGGACCACACTCTCACCCATGGTTATACACCCAGCAGAGAGGCAACAGACAAAAATGCCCACTTTCTAGTTTCTCCGTGGAAGGGACCTAACTACACACTTTCCCGGCAGCTACCTGACTGGCTTCCAAACACCCTGTATCTAGGTATTGACTGTTTCCCTTTGGGACACTTATGGGTCTTGGCATACCTTCAACTATTGGGAGCCATTAAGAGCAAAGAAGGTAGCTTGGACAATCACAAAGATTTGAGAGACAACAAGGAGCCCTGGCCAGGCTAATTGGTGAGGTGATCATCTCCCACATAAGACTCTTCTTTCAAAACTGGGAGAGGTTGCTGTTTTATTTAATACACAGAAATCAACACAGAGAGTCAAAAAAAATTAACAGAGAAATATGTTCCAAGCAAAAGAACAAGATAAAACTCTAGAAACACATCTAATGAAACAGATAAATGACTTACCTGATAGAGAGTTCAAAATTACAGTCATAAAAATGCTCACTGAGGTCAAGACAATGCATGAACAAAGTGAGAATTTCAACAAAAAGATAGAAAATATAAAAAAGTACCAAACAGGAATCATAAAGCTGAGGAATATAACTGAACAGAAAATTTAATAGAGAGTGAGGGTGAGATGTGCATCAGTCCCGGGCATCGGGAATAAAACTTGCTGCCGAGAAGGACATTTTGGAGGCTTTGATGACTGGAAGAGGTGTCTCTGGGATTCCCACTCCTAGATCTTTGTTGAAGATTGGAAAAGAATTGAATTAGGGCCATGGGGACACAGAAGGTCACAGCACATCTGATCTTTGCCATCTTCATTGCTACAATAGGCTCTTTCCATTTTGGCTATAACACCGGATCTTTGCCATCTTCATTGCTACAATAGGCTCTTTCCATTTTGGCTACAGCTACATGCTCCTGAGATGATCATAAAGGACTTTGTCAATTACACCCTGGAAGAGACATTGAACAACCGTCCCACTGAGGTGTTACTCACTTCCCTCTGGTCCTTTTCTGTGGCTATCTTCTCCGTTGGTGGTATGATTGGCTCCTTCTCCATTGGACTCTTTGTCAACCGCTTTGGCAGGCGCAATTCAATGCTCATTGTCAACCTCGTGGCTGTTGCTGGTGGCTGCCTTATGGGGTTCTGCAAAATAGCCGAGTCGGTTGAAATGCTGATCCTGGGCCGGTTGGTTATTGCCCTCTTCTGCGGCCTCTGCACAGGTTTTGTGCCCATGTACATTGGAGAGGTCTCTCCCACTGCCCTACGGGGGGCCTTTGGCACTCTCAACCAGCTGGGCATTGTCATTGGGATCCTGGTGGCTCAGATCTTTGGTCTGAAAGTCATCATGGGGACTGAAGAGCTTTGGCCCTGGCTTTTGGGCTTCACCATCATTCCAGCTGTCCTGCAAAGCACAGCCCTTCCGTTTTGCCCCAAGAGTCCTAGATTTTTGCTCATCAACAGAAAGGAAGAGGAGAGTGCTAGGGAGATCCTCCAGCGATTGTGGGGCACCCAGGACATGACTCAGGACATCCAGGAGATGAAAGATGAGAGCACAAGGATGGCACAAGAGAAGCAAGCCACAGTGCTGGAGCTCTTCAGATCACGCAGCTACCAGCAGCCCATTATGATTTCCATCACGCTCCAGCTGTCCCAGCAGCTGTCTGGAATCAATGCTGTGTTCTATTATTCAACAGGAATCTTCAAAGATGCAGGTGTTAAGGAGCCAATCTATGCCACCATCGGCGTGGGTGTGGTTAATACCATCTTCACTGTTGTCTCTCTGTTTCTGGTGGAAAGGGCAGGGAGGAGGACTCTACATATGACTGGCCTTGGAGGGATGGCTGTTTGTGCCATCTTTATGACCATCTCATTGTTACTAAAGGATGAGTATAATTGGATGAGCTTTGTTTGTATTAGGGCTATCTTGGTCTCTGTGGCCTTCTTTGAAATTGGCCCAGGCCCCATTCCCTGGTTTATCGTGGCCAAACTCTTCAGCCAAGTACCCCGCCCAGCTGCGATGGCAATGGCTGGTTGTCCCAACTGGACCTCCAACTTCCTGCTTGGGCTCCTCTTCCCTTCAGGTGCATTCTATTTAGGAGCCTATGTTTTTATCATCTTCACTGGCTTCCTCATTGTCTTCTTGGTCTTCACCTTCTTCAAAGTCCCTGAGATGCATGGCAGGACTTTTGAGGAAATCACACGAGCCTTCAAGGGGCAGGCTCAGGAGGCTAACAGAGCCGAGAACGGCCCCATCATGGAGATGAACAGCATCCAGTCCATGAAAGAAACCGCTACCATCTAAGCCATGCCTCCTTCCTGCCTCCCTCCCAACATGGAAAAGCAACCTCTCCCCAGATGAGGGAGAGACCTCATCAGCTTGTAACCCAGGACTGTTTCTGAATGCTGCTACTTGATTCCTTTCTCTTCCCACACACTCCATGAGCACTCAGAGGAACCCAGTGCAGGAGTTAGTTGTATCTTCAATGGCTTTCGAAACATTTCATTTCTTGGACATTCGCTTCTGTTTAGTTAGGAGAGACCAAACGAACCTACCTTCATTTCAGGAGGAATTGGCCACTTGCCATCTGACAGCATTGTCGTCTCTTCCTCCCTTGGGTTCTAATAGGGCCTCACCAGGGCCAATAGGGGAGGGGAGTAAGAGTGAGGTGCAGTTTCCCCAACCCCAGACTTCCCAGGAAGCAGATCTATATGAGTGTGGAGGGCAGAGAGGGATTAAATAAGAGCACCTTCCTCACTTCCATACAGCTCTGCAGAGCAAATTAATTTGAGATTTATTTATTTTATCTTCTGGTTTTATTGCATAAATATTTATTTTTTTAAGTGTAAAATAATTTTACCAAATAATGAAAACAGAAGGAAATTGAGGATAGAGGGAGGCGCTTGAAGAGGTTCTAGGGCAGAAGATTTGATACTGGAGAGCTCGAGGTGCAATAAGGGGAAGATTCAGGGAGAAGTATAACATGTTCTCAGAGGGTACATGATGGGGTGTGTGAAGTTTGCACATTGCCTCTTAAACTTCAGGTGGAAACTCTCAAGTTTAATTTCTCAGAAAAGTGATGTGCCTATATTAAGAAGCTACTGGTTACCTTTAGAACTTTTTTCTTTGTTGAAAATTATATGTAGTGTTACTTGAAATCTAGGGTTATTAAGATGGGCATTATAGCTAATGGTGGTGATGGTTTCTAATTTTGGTTGGAGTCCAGAGAAGGGAAGGTTATTTCTAGATATTCTTTCTCTCCTCACTGGACAAAACAAATTCTTCCCCTTATAGTGGACTCACTGTGGGGGGTGGGGGTTAAAGTATTCCTAATACCCGCCTGGTGGGAGAACCTTCCAAATGAGGAACCCAAAATAGTGGTTCTTGGTAGAGGTTCTGTATTTCTCCTTTTTGTTCTTTAGGAGATTTTAGTTGTTGATATTTTGTTTTAAGCCATAGCTTTAAAAGAATTCAGAGGAGAATGTTCATAAACTAACTTGGAATTTGTAACCTCAGCTCTGGGAAAGGATTTTTCCTGAACGATTATTATCTAGTTGAAGTATGTTGTTGCTAAGGGTCATCCATGCTTGTTCTGTTGCCATATTCGCATAGTATGATGTCAAGTGCCCTTAGGGGACCATACATTTGAGATAATATGAATAAATGTGCAGTGTAGTCCACACTTGAGAGAGTATGAATGTATGTGCACTGTCATTTTGCTCTGGGTGGAAGTAGATTACTGGTAACTTGTGTCCTTTATGTACCTATAGCCCCCTTTTGAATAGAATGTGTTCAAACTCATCTCTATATGTATAAAGAACACTGCCTCTGCAAAAAAAAAAAAGAAAGAAAATTTAATAGAGAGTTTGAGCATCAGTCTAAATCAATTGGAAGAAAAGATCAGCAATCTAGAAGACAAGACATTGGAATTCATCCAATTAGAGGAGCAAAAAGCAAAAAGAGTGAAAATAGCTGAAAGGACTTAAAGGATACCATAATGTGAATGTGTAGGGGTCCCAGAACAAAAAGAGAGATTAAAGGGGCAGAAAGCTTATTCAAATGAACAGTGGCTGCAAACTTCCCTAACCTGGGGAAAGAAACAGATATCCAGATCCAGAAAGTCCAGAGAGTTCCCAGAAAAGTGAATCCAAAGATACCTACACTGAGACACACTATAATTAAATTGTCAAAAGTTAAAGATGACAGAATTTTAAAAGGAGCAAGAGAAAACGACTGATTATGTACAAGGGAACTTCCATAAGATTATCAGAATATTTTTCAGCAAAAACTTTGCAAGCCAGAAGTGAGTGGGAGGAGGGGTGCCTGGCTGGCTCAGTCATTGGAGCATCCAACTCTTGATCTTGGGGTTGTGAGTTTGAACCCCACACTGGGTGTAGAGATCTTAAAAAAAAAAAAAAAAAGAGGAGTGGGATGATAGATTCAAAGTACTGAAAGAAAAAAAAAACTGCCAACCGGGAATACTCCACCTGGCAAAGTTGTCTTTCAGAACTGAAGGAGAAACAAAGACTTTTCCAGACAAGGAAAAAGCTGAAGCTGAGAGAGTTCATCT